ACCAATTTCAATGCGCCTACATTACACAGGGCACCTTTGGCAAAGCTTCGGCTAAAAGGCAAACAACAAGTCCACAACTGGCGGAGGCTCTTCTTCGTAAACCTGTTGTGGTTGCCTGCTGCAACCAAACTGTTCTTTGTCCCATGCGCGCTCGTAAAATGTTCTGCTTCAAATCGATGTCCAAATACAGTTGCGCGTGCACTCTGACAGGTTTGCACTGACCTGGAAACTGCTGTGGACGCGGAGATCAAGAAGCGCGGCGGTGGTCCCACGAAGGTGTTGTTTTCAGCGCCAAAATTGTCAAAGGAGCGTCGTTGCAATTTGTTTTTGGTGTATTATAGTTCCAAGAGAGGTCGGGAGGCAGTATGGCCCAACTCAATCACTAACTTGCTTTGTTTTACTGTGGATTCGGGCGTGCTTCAACATGTTTTATTGTCTCGGAGGGTGCGCCACGCACATGATAACGTTTCCGGGGGCTCCAACAAGCCCCCGCACACCTTTGCACCAAACATATAAAATCGAGGGCCCCCACATGGTGCAAAGTTTGCACAGATTTTGTCAACTTGTAAACCAACGGTTTGTATGTCTATGAGGGTCCCCCAAGTAGCGCTTTAAAGTTCTCTGGCTGCCCAGGAATTGTTGGACATGTGACCTTGATCAGGCGGCTGCCAAGATTCAAGAGGAGTGTTTTGATGACATTTGAGGACTGTCTCTGGCTGCAAAAGAGCGGGCTCAAGGTTCTTCTCACGAACGCCAAACGCGAGAAAAAGCCCAGAGGGCACCTGGTGACCCATTAAGGCAACAGATCGATGTTCTTGCCAGTTCTTGCTATATGTTCATGTCTTGTCATCTTGACTTTCCATCCAAGTCTGAACGACTTAGCTAAGGCAGCGCCATGTTCGGCGTCTGCCCATGTCGGCTTCATCTCAGGCTTGATCACATATATCCCCCAATTTGCACCGCTATTGAGTTCTTTGCCCAAATCCTGCTATCAGGATGAGGACGGCAAGGGAAATCTGAAGCAGTTGGCTCAAATGAGCACCTCAACGGCTCAGCTTCCAGACTTTGTCGCGTTACGCAGCCTATGCGCGCTGCAGGTGACCATGTGGACTCGGCTGCTGTCAGCTGTTGACTCAACAATGTTCAAGCGCAGCAGTCCAAAAATGCCCTCAACACTTCAAAAACCTCTCTCTTAGACACACACACACACACACTCACGCAGACTATCATCGAACGCTGACAGCGGCCCAATCCATGCCAGAGATGCTTGACTCGGCCCTCCCCAAGATATTGGTGCAGAGGTCCACCGCGGCATGGGGCGGCGAGGATGGGAAGGGTGGAGAGCCGGCTCACGTGGATGGGCAGGCTGGAAGCCCGCTTTCACATTAGGAGCCCTGTTGTATGGTATGGGGGGGTCATATTGGACGCTCCTGACAGACCCACTGGACACGCTTCGGACTCGTCTGGTATGTATATATTACATATAACTTCTTGGTATACACATGTACAATATAAATATACGTGTGCCTTTATAGGAATCCGGGTGAATCCTCATGGATCAGGAGTGCCCCTTTGGCCGTTACGACCTCACTGTGGGCACCTCCGAGCGGGGCGAGGCGCTGGGATTTGGGCGGCTGCCCAAGTTCCAGTGGGGGCACCCCAGACCGTTGGAGGCGGCGAAGGGGACGGCCCCGACAGTTGGGAAGACAAGGGATTAAGTTGAAGGAAAGAGAAACAGATCAGTTGGAGGGAAGGGACAGTTGCAGTGTTTCTTTCCATTTGTTTTTCCAGGGCGCTTATCATCGTTTATCCGTGTTTTTATCCGTGGAACATAAAGAACCCTCCTGTCCTAAGCCTAAAACCACCCCGTGTTCGACATGTTTCGAAGCGATGATCTAGGGGATGCAACTTAACATTGCCGTAGTAAAGTTTAGAGTTGAACTGACAAATCTCCGAAAAAGGGGACACGTGTAACAATACAGAAGCAGGAAATGTATCATTGGACTGGACCTCCAAAAGACATGCGTCCTAAAAACATCGCCCCGCCAGCCCCAGTCAAGAATGTTTCATGGTTGCTGGCAGGTGTGGGGCCCATCCGTTGGCCTGACTTCCCCTCCGCCTTTCACCGGGTCTATCCAGTTTCTGGGGCCAACTTGAAACCAGGCACTTGTTGCTAGCCTTTGGTGGGCTCGGAGGCTTTGAAGAGGCACTGGGCGGTCGTTTTGATGTGTGTACCGTAGGTTGGTACATTGGCGTATCTCTGGAGACTGATGGTGCACTCGGACAGTCGACAGATGCCGATTTGCACTATTCACACTAAATTATTCTACAAGCAAACATTATAATCACGTGTGGTGCAGGCACCAATCAGCCATCATCTACAGTGCGTAAATTAGCATTATTGGGTTAATTAAGGTCAAGAGACAAGAGATGTCAAGAGTATACTGGTTTTCAGGGAGAGTGGCCAGATCGAGGCAGTCATGGAAACCTTGAATGGCCTAGGGCGAGATTGTTTTTGCTAGCGCCGCTGTTAGCGACCCCAGGAGAAAATGCTACTTTTTCTCTGGGTGATCTTCGCTTGCACGTGTGCACGGGGTGGGATGGGGATGGGGTTGGGGTGGGGTGATGTTAATGTTCATATGAAGCTGCACACGGACTTGATGCCACGCTTTGGACGGGGTGGGGATGGGGTTGGGGTGTGGTGATGTTAACATTCGTATGAAGTTGCACACGGACTTGACGCTACGCTTTGGACGGGGTGGGGTTGTGGTTGGGGTGGGGTGATGTTAACGTTCGTATGAAGTTGCACACGGACTTGATGCTACGCTTTGGATGGGGCGCACGGAGTTGGAGCGCGGTGATGTTAACGTTCGTCTGAAGTTGCGCACGGTCTTGATGCTTTGCTTTGGATGGGGTGGGGATGGGGGGTGGGGTGATTTTAACGTTCATATGAAGCTGCACACGGACTTGACGCTACGCTTTGGATGGGGTTGGGGTGTGGTGATGTTAACGTTCGTATGAAGTTGCACACGGACTTGACGCTACGCTTTGGATGGGGATGGGGTTGGGGTGGGGTGATGTTAACGTTCGTATGCACACGGTCTTGTAAAGTTGACCACCCGTGATGGTCTACGACAGCGTGACGCAAAACGCGTCGAAGAATGTGTGCGAAGTTCCCAATTTCGATGGGGCAACAAAAACAATTTGTTTGCGCATGCGGTTTTGGCCTGCAAAGTTCCAAAACTATAAACCCAAGACACCTGCAAAACGCGTGTGCGCACAAAGTTGGTGCATTTGCGGTTTTTAGCCCTTGGAGATTCCATTTCACCAGTCTTGTCTCTGGTAAATAATTGGATATAACAAAACATGATCCAAACTGTGAGAAAAGAAAACTTCGTAAAAAAGGGACGTTTCAAGACGTGTCCATGTCTGAACTGTACAAATCGCGCAGGGTCATTTTTGGCGGCGGTACCTTGTTTTTTGATGATGTGGGAAGCATCCGCTTGACTGTATTTCGCAGTCGCAACTCGTATGAACATCTCTGAATTTACATGATGACCAGTTGATTGGCGTTGATTGGCGTTCAGTGCAAATAGTTTGCTTTCAGTTGTGGTTCTTTGTGCCAAGCACGAGCCAAAGACACGTAGTACATCGTAGTAGTGTTGATGATCCGAATCCCCACCTAAGAGCGGTGACTCTTCACCGTGGAATGAGGGTCTCCCGTTTTTGTTGCAAAAAACCAACACCGTTCCAACGGTCCGTCCTGTTCTCACCGTGAAACCCTTCTTCATGCACCTTAAGAAGGCATGTTTTTTTGCTGGCTGGCGTTCCTAAGGCATTTTCTGGTTCACCCATTCCAGCACTGTTCCTGCAGGTCATCAGTGACCCGGTCAGTGGCTACGAGGCGTCCACCGACCCGGCGAGCTTGTTCACGCGCTACGTGAACGTGTGCCCGCGCCAGAAGTCTCGGACCATCCGCGCCTCGGTTGACACGGGAACAGCAGCAGGAATGCCTGATTTGATGGACCTGGTGGTGAATCTGAAAGAAGAACCGCCTGACCTGAGGGACACACAAATCCGGAGTCGTTCAATTGACCTCCGTGAACTATGTGGGATCTCTCCATGTTCCCCTTGACTTTGCTGCTTCAAAACATCCGACACCATCTCACCGCCGGTAGTTGAGCGTTATTTATTTCAAAAAATGAACACAACAAACAACTGTTTCTTTGGCATAGTCAGCTTTAGGTTAGTGTTGTGAAGTGCTTGACGAGGGTACACTGAGCAGCCAGTGGCCAGTTGCCTTGCTAAGGAACTGAGGAAGCCTTGCTGATCGCCTTGGCAACCCTCGATCCGCTGTTGCCAGATTGAGGGGCAAAAAGCAGCAGAGAGTAGGGCACCGATCTCCAAACTTATACACCAGGTAGTGATTATCAATGTTTATTGATGTTTATTATATAAGTATTCCGATGTATATCCCACATGGTGTAGTGGGAATCCACAAACTTGGTCGCTGAGTATGTCAAGGTCAGACACGTAAGTCTCATCACGCATTCAGCCCTCGGGGCCAAGCTGAAGGAGAACAACTGGCGACCACGCCGCCGACATACCTCACCTGACTTGGTTGGACAATCCAGGCTGAAGACTTTGTTTTATAATGTGTGTTTGTGTTGTTGTCAAGTTGTTTATATATATAATATTTCTCTTGCGATGTGGTTCAATACCACGTCACCAAGATTCGCCAGCCAAGTATATATTAGTAATATGATGTGATATGTTTCTACATATGCAAATGCAAATTCATCCATGTATGGTCTCACCTAGATTAGTATAGCCGCATAGTCGCACCCTTAAGACACAACATGCACGTTGGCTGGTCCTGGCTGCTTTGGGCTTGTTCCATGTATCGAGCCACACATCCCGTGACCGTCACTCCTTCCATCATCAACCTGCGGGGCTACACCGCTACGCGGACACGCGATGGCTGGAGAGAATCGTCCAAGGCTGGCCGTTGACAAGGAGAACCACTATGCCTTCGTGGCGGGACTCAGTGAGAAAGAACACACCACTGTGACAGGATTTTTGCAGTCGCTTTCAAGGCGGTCGGTTAAGGGGCTTTCAAGCCTTCGGCTGTTTGAACCAGGTCGGGAAGGTGAATCTCCATGGATCTCCTGCAGTGTACCATATATAACTATATTGGTATATTACTATATATATATTACTATTCTATCACCATACATATTGTATACATATCAGGGGTGACAGGGTTTACGTGTAGAGGTTCAACTTTTTGATGTGTGTCCCAGCTTGAGCAACTTTTTTGTGCTCGACTTGGACCGCCCTGCAGGGCACAGGGCACGTGCTTTGTTCAATCAAGCGCATGGCACGTCAGTTTCTGCACGCTGAGAGTTTATCATGACAAAGCAAGTGGCCACAACAATTTTCAATATAGACGGGAGCCTCAACTCTCAACTTGGTGTTTCAGTTTTGATTTTTGTGCCCAAACTGTGGTTTCTGATGGTTTCTGCCGGTGTGACTTTGGATGAGCTGTTTGGTCCACAAGAGGTCTGGAAGTTGGCTTGGTTCGCATCGAGATCAACGGGATCCTAGGGCGTGTTCGGAGATTTCAGGGTCAAGAGAGCAAACACACAATTTGAATTGAACGGCTCTGGTTGAAGCTGGACCTTGAAGTCATCAGCTCTACAGGTAGTGCTGGGCGCAGCCGGGGATTTGGCGAAGAAGAAGCCTCTTGGTACACGAGATCGGCTCGGGTGCACGAGATCCGCTTGTTCATCTTGATCAGATGTTCCCTAAGGAGGTTTAAAAGTTTACAAGGGGATGCTGTTGACACATGAATTCCAAATCGATGTATTTGGGGACAGCCACAAGAGACAACATTGTCAGTTTGTGAGGGATCGGGATGTCCTGTAGTTTCTCTAATCTTTGCATCCTAGATATGTGCAGCCATTCCATGCATGGACTCATTGGTTGTAGAACTGTCCATCACTCCATGTTGTTCTTTTGGCGTACTAGGTCTCCTTTTGCCATCGCCCAGATCACTTAGTTGAATCTCATGGATTCACTAATGTATGGCAGGTGCCCAACCTCTTTGGGCGTTTTGGCCGTGTGGATTCCTCAATGTCTATTGGATGTCAGCAAGGTTGGCGCCATGTTGGGGGACCCTGTTGATAGATGTTGGCTGTATTTTGAAACCCCTTGGTGAGAGTTCCTTGGTGTCCCTATGATCTACAGTATATTCCCATGTATTCCCAACCATCATTGGATGGATCATGGTAATGCCAGCCTCCATAGGTCGGTCATGGTCGGTCCCATCCGAAACGGAGGACCTCGGACCTGTCGATGAATCTGAGGACCTTCCCATCACTGTTCCAGCTCCACATGGGGTGCTGCACTCAGATCTTCCGATGAGTCATGCTCCCAACATGGCCATCTCTCCGGGCCGGTGAGGCGTTGGGTGAACACCCGCGGTCTCCGCCGTACCTGGTTGTGGCTGCTGTGTTTTTTGGGGGTCGACGTGCCATGCGATTCACTTGAGGCGCTTGTTGCCTGGAAACATGCATATCATTGGTGTGGACAATCCCCAGTTCCACAAGGAGCCGATCGGTCGGGTTTACGAGGAGCCTACCGTCGCCAGCTCCTCGGTGACCCGAAAAGCTTTTTCGACCCTTCCCAGCCCGAAGTGACACCTACCCTGGAAGAGTGGAGAACCTTTAGCGCTTTGGGGGGATTGGTTTCCCTACTTAAAGGTGGAAGATGGTGGAAGTATGGTGGAAGTTAACCTTTATTTTGCATGGAAACTGCCGGAGTTTCGGAAAGCTTAATTCCTTGATGCTTTGTTTGGAATATAGGAGCGTGACGTTCTCTTGTTAACACGATTTCAGAAATACTGCAGTTCCGTGTCAAGCTGCACTTACCTACGACAAGGAACCCTTGGGGATACCGGTGTTTAGATTCGCTTGTTCATGTTGGTCCTCTTGCTTTGCTATTGGATTGGCGGAAAGTAGCCTATTCTCATGCACTTGCATGTGTAAGGATCGTGGTTTGGTTTGGAACACATGCTCATATACTGTAATTCATATATATATATATAGGTAATTAGAATACATTCAAATCATTCTTTGATTGTATTTGCTTGTTTGTTAGTGTTTGTGGGTGGGTTGGGATCGGTTGGCGGGAAGGCACTACTGGGTATCTTTGGATCATGAACATGTTATGCTATTTATGATATGTATATATAATATATGAGCTTGATTGAAGAGGGTGGGACAACAAATAGAGAGAGAGAGAGAGAGCTAGGGCATATCATCCAAGGCCATACTTAATGTACGTTTTGGCTAGCGCTAGACGAAAAGCGCAAGAACTCCAGCAATGTCACTGACACCACAACAGCGCTGTTTTGGATTCAGTGCCCCATCGAAATGAGTGATCCCAAATATATGTATATATAACAGTTAAATACAGTTCAATTTGTTTGTTGCTTTAGATGGGGTCAACGTTTCTACCTCTTTCAGTTGCGATATTTTGGGTCTGTCCTATTATTACCTGTAGCAGTCAGTAAACAATTATCACTATTTTTGAACAAGGCCTTTACTAACCATCATCCACTGTTACAGGTATTAGGATAGAGCCAAGCAATAAAATAGAATCATTGGTATCGATAAATACCTTAATTGGTTAAAATACTGGATAATATCATCAACCGCATGTTCTGGTGAGACTCCAAATTGCCTTCAATCCTCTCCAATCCTCCCAATTCCAATTCCCAAAACTGGTGGAGGGGTCGAGATTCCGGATGCTATCAGAATCCAGAACATCTGTATATTCGCTGAAGATGCGGCCCTTCAGCGTTAGCCCCAGTAACACCTCACCGCCATCATGGTTTTTGTGACCCATTCATTTGTGTTGGCTTTGCGTTGTTTGTTTGAACATGTTTCCAGCCAGCGTTGGCACCCTTCCTCCCACCCCTACTTCGTGGTCCTTCCGCGACGGTCCGCGGCCGTCCGAGCGGAGGACGTGACCAACGTGACCGACTTTTGGGACCAACGGCTTCGAGAACACCTCGAAAAGCAGAAAGGCTGGGTGAATGAGGACCCGACGGGAACCGGACGGGTGGGTCGAGAAGTCGGGTTCGGGTTCGGTCTCGGTTGTGCCTTCTCTCACCACGGTGGAGGTTTACTCTTTTGGGGTTTGGAAGTTCACATGTTTTGGAGCTAAGGCTGCTAAGGCTTTGCTTTGTAAGATGTTTCGGGGCCAGCTTCGGTCAAGCATTCTCTTGAGGCCGAGCGAGGTAAAAATGAAGCCGGTCCTGTGCCAAGATTGCTGCTCTCGCTGATTCTGCCCATCCACAGGACCTCGAGAGCTTCAAAGAAAGGCTTCACTATGTGCAAGTGCAGCTGGACCAGTCCGCAGCCTCAAGGAATTGTGACGGAGGTGTCACGGTTGAAGCGTGAGGAGCCTTTTTGTTGAAGCGTGAGATCAAGATCGATGCTGAAAATACTATATTATATATATATATATGACATATATAGACTATATAGACTATTATAATAGACCAATATAGAATATGAGGACTTTATAGAGTTGTGTCCACATTCAGTAGTCTAACTTGTCTAACATTTATTGGTCCAAAGATAACTAACTATAACTGAGTTATATATTATATGGAGATGAGCCAAGTGGATAGTGGATTCGTCCGCAAAGCGACACCGACCGCGACCGACCCCCACCGAAGCCCTTCACCGAGTCCCCCAGGCCTGACACGGTGGTCGCATTGGACAGGTGGGTGTTCCTCCACTCGTGTCGAAGGGCCATTAAGGGCCTAAGGAAACAGGGTGAAAGATGTGAAAGGCTCGCTGAAGTGATGGTGATGAAGAGTGATGAGGGCCCATTCCATTCCACCCTTAAGCGTTCTGCGTTCTGTTGATGGAAGAACAGGAGGAAAGATGATGAGAAAACAGTGGAGACAATGTCAATGTCCTTGAGGATGGGGGGAATTCAAGGTCTAAGTCTAAGTGGCACAACCCTGGGTCGGGAAATGGGGAAACCATAGTGGACACCATGTCTTACTTATTCTTTGCCCTTTTGAAGGTCGGTAGACATGAGGATGCCAGAAAAACTATTGCGGGGACAAGCTGGGACTCCGTTTCTCAGCGTCATTCTGCTGGAGGTCCACTGCCTTGATCCCAAAAAGAATGGTGTTGGCGTTGGAGGCCCACCTCGACAGCTGAGGTTCTATCGATCAAACGACAACTGACCCTGACTGACCCTGTCAGTTCCAAACATGTTCAGACCCTGTGAGTGGATCTTCCACACATCATTCATGGCAATGCATTGAAATGCACCAGTGGGTCAACAGCTGCAGCTCGAAAGCCAGGTAGGAACCTGACCCTCCCTGCTACATACCTTCGGTGAATGTTCGGTGGTCAACCAGGCTCCCCTGCCTTGACCCACCCGAGCGTGTGGGAGGCACTTGCGATCGCTGGCGGAAGATCGTCCAAAGGAGCATCGTGTGTTTTACCTGGTGGGGGGGCCTTGGGGCGTCCAGCGGCACCTGGCAGAAGGGCCCAGCAGAAGGGTCTCAGCATCCCCTTTATACTGGAGATGAATGGCCTTGGACCAAGCGCACCAGGCCTTTGCACCGGCAAAGCAAATCAAGAAGGGATTCCATGTTTCAGGCCTTCGCCGTTCGTTCGGATCCATCCAGCGACTGGAGGAGGCGAACCTCAAATGGGTGACCAGATATGACCGGGGGGAATTACAAGCATCCAGTATGTTCTTGACCATGTTTTTTCCAGGTGAAGTGACCGTGGCTCATGTGCTGTTTGGGGTCCCAGGTTGGTAAACCGGGGTGTAAAAACCCTGATTCACTAACCTGGAAGCGGGTCTAGAGAAGCTGTTTGTAGAGGGATTCAGCCTTTTTGGGGGTGGATCGCCATCCACTTCCATATGGGGTGATCTGTGGGGTGTTCAGATCTGGTACGGACTTACACAGGGTTGATCCGGATGATTCCGGATGGCTTAACTGAATGACTCACCATGTCTGGGAAGCATGGAAGCCGCGACGTGGACGTGAACATGCGACGTGGACGTGAAGATTGTCAGTAGAATGCCCAACCATCACTAGACCATACGACATTTCCTTTGACTGTTGCCCGGCTATGCCTAGTTTTGTTGCAGGTGCTTGTAAAAGTAAACCATGGTAGACCTGTGCAGTTTGTTTCTAGGGTTTGAGGACGTCATTGCCGGCACACTTCATGAAGTGTTCAACTGGTTTGTTTGGACCTCGGTCACATTGCTCGCGGTGTCCCCGTTCACTATGTTGGTCACATGGGTTTACCTTCCAAAACACCGTGTTCACCGTGATCCAGTGATTCCCAAATAGATAGAGAAGGGTTCCATGCAATACATCTTCTAGAGGGGTCTATTTTTCCACTTCTAGTTGCAACATGGATGCTTGGAAAATCACTCCTCAGAGTCCCCTGGCGGAGATGAAACACTTGACACCCAGGCACTGCCCCCATTCCTCTTCGCCAAAGCCGTGGAGAATCTGCGGGAGCGTCTGACCCTGACGCGATGGGAAGCCGCTGCGGGACACCCAAACGCTGTTGAAGGAAGAAGGTCTGAGCCAAAAGGAAGTGAAGAAGGATATACCAAGTATCAATATGTACGAATTTGAATAAATAATTTCTGAGGAAAGGATATAGAGCCGGCCTGTCTTTGTAAGGAACAGCATCCAAACCAAGACCTTGCTCCATCTCGAAATAAGTTGTTCTGGGAGCTCAAAAAGAAAACGAGGTGAGTTGATCTAGCAAGCGACCGGTGCAACTCCCGAGAATAAAGAGTAATAAAGCCCCGAAAGCAGACAATTCCTGGAATAATCCATCTCATTGTTCCCTACTTCTACTTCCTTTCATCGCACGGCTTGACCAGAACAGAAGGGAGTTCTTTGTTATCGAGACGTTCATCGCCAGGTTGCTGGTCCCAAAGCGGCTGGAACCGTGTGATTGTCGAGAAGCCTTTTGGAAAGAACGGTGCGCGCTCTGATCGGCACGGTTTTGGTGGGGTCGATCGGATGGGATTGATCTTTAAGATCAATTCAGCGGATGTGGTGCACCTGGAAGCGATGCAATTTGTTTTTTGTTGTGTTTTGGTGCTTCTTGTCGTATTTATTCAGCCCGCTAGTGCGGGACCTTAGTAGAAGAGCTTTCCAGATCCATCCACCCAAGTGGTGCCAGTTGAGCGATGAGTGAGGAGAGGAATGGCAGCCACTCGAGTCAGAGCCCAGCTCCGGGGCGCTCAGCCCAACTCCGGGATCGTCAGGTACACAGGCGGCTGAGCTTACAGATAGTCAGGACACCCAGAGTGGAAGCAGAACCGGCATCGTTGTGCCAGGTTCATCGGATCATCTCGGATCATTAAGCTGGGGTGGCGGCAGTCTGTCCTGAACTGTAAGCTCTCAAGTCCATTGTTATACATATATATAGTCATATAGTTTCCTGAAACAATTGATGAGGAGATGTGTTACAAGACTCATTGTGTCAGCCTTAAGTCTGACGACTCACTTGTCCGTTCGTCGACTCTACAAGATTCAATCTATACATTATACAGCCTCAGCATACGATAGATGGATGACAGAGCCGGAAATCTGGAGATACCTAAAAAAGTCCTAAAGCTATAATGTTGAAGCAAATCATGACAGTCAGTGATTCTGTGGTAACCATTCTGTTGAACGATCCTCTGACTCTCAGGATCATCCCTGACACATCGCTGATAACTAAGATCTATAGCATGCGGAGTAGCATGTGGCCAAAGCACTCACAGATTCAATGGCAACCACTCATCAGAGCTCTTTCAACTCGCACATCGTGGGTACCGAGCTCCACCTCGCCATGCCGAACTGCGATGAGTCGCTCTTCGCTGCGCTGGCGAAGCATCCGCGGCACACCGCCGGGAGCGAGAGCCATCCGATGCCGGACCGGTGTCGTGGGAAGCTCAGTGGCGAACACTGACTGCATCGCTACTAGTAGGCATCGCTACCAGTCACAAGGGCATTACGATGTTTTGTTTCGGGTTGGGGGGGGGTGAGGCCATCGCTATTAGGTTGGAGGCCATCGCTCTTTGGGGGAGGCCATCGCCAGTATAGGGCCAACCTCTTCCAGATGGAGTGAGAAGAGCACCGAAATTCCCGTAGCCATTTTGGCTCAAGTGATTGGTTTGATCCAGTTTACAAGCCGGACTTGGGAAGACTGGAACCTATTGCATCTCCACTTCAAGGTGCTACTGCCGGGGAGGCTGCGGATGGCTGGTGAACCTCTCACCGGAAGAAGTGCAACGACTCAGAGATGGGTTGGACGAGCCGGGGCGTAGCAAGACCAGTCTCACTGAATCTGGACCAATGACCTACTGGTACCATGTAACTCTGATCGATGGCAGTGACTTTGATTAAGCGACCGTCTACGATTCAGGTGTTGCCATCGCGATTCCGAGTCCATGTGAGGGCCTTCAAGGTCCAACATGGTCCAACTACTTGCTCCAGGCCAAAAGCCAGCCCATGAAAACCATGGATACACTCTGGAAAATTCACATGGAACTTGAAAACCACTGGTTTATAGATGCAAATCGTCTTCCATGTGGGTTCATTTTCAGGTTCCATGTGGGTCTCTTCACAGGTGCAGCTCAGGGATCCATCGAAAGCCCCACTCGGACCACTCGCAGCCGAAGATGCACCGACGTCACCGACCACGAGCATGTCCCCATCTTGCTGACCTCAGTGATGACAGCATGCAAACCATGCATGCACTGGAGCCACGTGAGGGACAACAGATCTCCTTCCATCCAAAAAACATCATGCTGCACCCTTTGCAGCGTGATGTCATTTGGATGCATCCCTGTCCGCTAAGATTCTGATGTGGCTTTTGATCCTGGTTCAGGGGCTTGGGGCAGCTGTCAGCGACATGCAATCGTATGGAGATCCACAGGCATCCCACACTTCTTTGGGCTGTATCACGGAGGAAGCAGCACAAATGTGCGCGCGCCGGGGCAACGAATTCTTTGTGGCGATTTTACCCAGATTTCATGGGCGTCGATGTCGCTAGCTGTTCTGTTCTATTTGACCTTGAGGAGCGGAGCATGCAATGCTATGATGCTTTGAACGCCTTGAAGCCTTTCGGACCAAAGTTGTGCGAGCTGCCTGAAGAACGATCCCACGATGACTCTCTTCCGGCCAAGGCGATCGTGTTGTAGTTTCAGTGGACTACGTGTAGCATCGGTGTAGCATGGAGGGTGCAGGCCACCAGAAGCGCCGAACCCGTGGTCTTGATCAGAGTAACAAACACGGGTTCGGTTCCAATGAAGACAAGGAAATTCCCAAACAAAAGGTTCGTTAGTCAGCACAACCGTGATTGGCTTGTCCCCAACCCCTAGGGGCTAACGAAACTCCAACTGAAATGAAAGAGATCATGAGATAATGAAAGCAAGACAACCATGTCAGAAAGCTGGCAAAACAAAAGAACTTTCTCCTCAGAATGGATATATATATATATACACAGATAGATAGATAGATAGATAGATAGATGTTCTTCCCAGAACATCCAAAACTCATTCAATCTACAAGACAACAACTTAGACAAACACAAAAAAACACTTGAATAAAGCATAAAAAAAACTGAAACAGGAAGAATGGATGAAGAAAGTACGAGTTCTTGTGTTGGCCAATGACAGGCCCCATGCGTCTCGCTGCTCCCATCCGTCCGACCTGTCATGCATCAACCCCGAGGCATTGAGGACCTTTTCGATTGGGAGGCCATCGCCAAAGAGATGGGCCGATCCGAGGAGGACCTTGGGTCAGCAGGATGGAGTTGTTGATCAATGTTCATTGATTGGTCGTATTTTTTCACAGTTAATCCTGTTTAAACTGTTAAACAATTAGATATTGGTCGTGTTTTGTTGGAATCCACAAACGGAGCTCTAGCTCTTTCAAACTACCATTAAAACATGGCCGGTCACCATCGCCTGTGACCTAAAAGGGAATGTTGAAGGTTCCAACTGACCATTTCACTCGGACCAGGCATGGTGCACCAGGTCGTTTAGCTATCCATGGAGTCCTAAATGGGTAGTCCCATTGGTGTTGGTTGATATCTTATAATATAAGCACCCTCAACCAATCACGTGACTACTAGGTCTTTATAGATTCCGGTTTGATGTAATTTGATGTTGCACCAACAAGGCACAGTCATGTGAACAACACTCTTGGGCATTCTGGGCGGCCCATGACTCCAAGCACTGATGAGTGTGGGAAACAACAACCATTGCCCCGTTTTGAAAGAAAGGGCCAGGGTGATGTTGCGCAGTAGATATATATGTGTTTTGTTTTGCATGTTTTGTTCAGATTCGTTGCCTTCGCTTCCGTTAGCTCCTCTTCAGAGGAGCTCATGAACGCGACCTTTGGACCAGCGTGTGGAAAGCGCCAAGCCCGCTGTGGCCTCCTGCGCGCACGGGGGTCACCCGAGCAGCTGAAAGAGGCGGCGATGAGGGCACAATTGGGGATCGTGGTGGTGCCAGAGTCTGGACTGATCTGGGATTGGGCGTGATGGGCCCCTTCTGATCCTTCTGGATGGATTGGGTAAAATGCTAGGACCTTGAACATCTGATCACTTGAACCATCAATTTGGGTGGCTAAATCTCAGATTGACCAGCTTAAGCCACGGGATGACCGTGCCTGTGGATCCTCGAGTTCGCATTGGATCGAAGGCGGAGGATTGTCACTCTGAGGGAGAAATTTGATGCATAGAGGACGATCCTTCCTTGGTTGTGCTGAGGTTCATGTCATATCGTTTCATACGAATGATCGTGTCATCAAATACCATGTCAATGATTTAGAGTCATGCTCTCCCTCTGCCAGTGCCGCCGGGCCTGTGTGGGAGATTGTTCGGTCCCCCGCTCTCGTGTGTGAAAAAACTGATCGAACTTAGGACTTCGTGAAAGAGGAGGAGGAAGCTGCGATGCTCGCAGAATTTCTGGATCCTGCCAATGCTGCAGGGCTGCCCTGGGAGAAGAGAGAAGGTGCGATTTCAATGCGGTATTTTGCTTTACAGATCTTTGAAGTCAGGCTTGGAACAGACACCTTCGTTTGCACATTGTCCAAAGAGCAACCCGAAGCTGGGTGGTAGGTGTTCCATGGGTGCGAACGTCACCATGATGGCTTTCAAAAGGCCCACCATCTTCCAATATGGGCATCGAAGGAGGGTTTTTGAATCAAAGGAGCCGCGAATAGAGTACCACTGACATCCACAAACTACTCACGGATATAGTTTGGAATCCCCTTGGATACTACTGGTAGGGCAGGCCGTGTTTGTTGGTTCCTGATCAATAACACCCACGCACGCACTGCACAGGAGGCGGATGGCATGCGAGCTTTGGGCCAAGCTTTATCCCAAATGCTGGCTACAAAGTGGAACCTGGACATAGGATCGATGGGTAAGAACAAGTTCTCGTCGTTCTTGTTCGTGTTGCTCATGTCATTATGGCCGTCGTTGGTTGTGGTTGTTGCTGTAGCAATGTTTGATTTTTGAGCGATTCTTGTTGACAAAGCAGATCAGAGTAATGTAGTGTGTAAATGTGTTTTAAGTATTACCCTTGCCATGTTGGGTTTAGTCTAGTAGATGCATAAACACTTTGCAGAATATGTGTATTGAATTGTGTCATTCACAAATCTGCGACAAAGTACTTGCAACCGGACAAACATGACACAGCTCTCCATAAGCCTAGTTTCAACTTGCTTGGACTGTTGTCTATCTACTTGTGACATGCCCAGACGCTCCCTTCACCGTCACCGCCCTTGGTCCCTCAAAGCTAATGAGGGATTTCAGACCGGATTCGGGTCCAGGGTTGCGTTTGGGTGGAGAACCGAATGGAGCACAACTCTTGAACTGACATCGCGAGAGCTCAGGATCGCAGCAAAGCCTTCACAGAGCTCCCCAGGGTCCTTGACACCGTCCGACACCTGGCTTCCAGCCGCCAGCACGCGCGCACGGAAGTCCTGGAAACCTGCATGCTGTTGGAAGGCATTGTTTGGACTCACGGAAATATACATCGTCGGAGTCCATGTTTCATACTTTCAAGCCCTTTTTTGACTATTTCTCATTTGAAAGTCGGTGCATAATGACATGTTTGGTTTGGCGAGTTGAACAGAACATGTGACTCTCTTTTCGGCTCTTAGTCTTGGGATCAGAAAAGAAGACCATACTTGTGAAATCATTCGGGCTGGATTAATAGACAAGGAAAAAGTTGGACTGAAGACGATTCGGGCAGAATATCGGCCTGCGGATGGAAAACCCAATTTATAGGCA